TATATGCCCAATTGCTATAATTAGTTGGCATGTCCTGTCCACAACAAATTACAACCACTTGTCAATTTCAAAAACTTGTGTAGGAATCAAAGCTTAGAGAAGAACATTTGGACCAATTCATACTTATTATTATCTTTCATGACCATATATCACTCAAAAGTGCAAGTCTGCTTAGTGGAGTGATGTCTTCAAACTTGTTACGAAAATTAAAACCATTTAAAAAGGGCAGGGCTGCCTACTAGAAACAATTTTTCTAGTTTCAAACTTTTTACCACGTGAGGAAGAATTCGATATATTAAATTTAAAAAGTAATGCTCATTGGTCTTTCTTTTTTATTTCTCATGTACCAAACCCTAACTAGAGCCAAACACATGTTTAGTAATCTGACTCACGTCAAAGTATTTTTCTTTAGTTATATTTTCTTCTTTAGTTTTTCATTTTTTAATTATTTAAAAAGGTTATTCGAACTTGAGATATCGTTCACGGTCCATTATTAAAATTAAAAATATTATAAAATTAAGAGTTAGCTGGTGTTTCTTTCTATCTATTTTCAAGAAAATAGAAGATGTGCATCCGTTTGCTTAGGTTGGAATTTTATATATATAATATAAAAAAATGAAAAAAGCAATACCAAATATGATATATAAGTATTATAAAAAATAAATAAAAAAGGACGTTTGATTTCATTAGTGCATAATTCTTCTTCACGTGTAGAAACTAGAAAATTGTTTCCAGTAGATAGTTGCTTTTAATATACATATATGTAGTCTCTTTCAATTGAGAGATTTTTTAAATAATTTTATTTGAGAGATACCCTTTACGGTACCTTATGAATTTTTTTTCAACGATCCAAACCATCTTCATTTATAGATCATCCTTGCAAAAGAAATCAAACAAATTGAAAATCATTAAGGCATTTAATTGAAACCAACAAAATCAATGAACACGAAATAATTTTTATAGAGATGATTTTTAATTGAAAGGTCAAATGATATCGGATTCAGGTGATTTTTTATAGAGATGATTTTTGAATGAATATCTACAAAATAGACTATTTGGATTAGTGAAATAAAATGTGGAGTAGACCCTACAAGCACTGGCATACCTATTAAGGCACTGCATATTGCCCATTTGCTGAGGTTTTGTGGTGCGCTCTAGTTGTTCGACGAATTGCCTCCACCAAGGCTTGAAGGCGTTGGGCTGTTTCTATGTGCAGCTTGTTATTTTTTAAATTAAAAACAAAAACAAAAAAGCAATTCGTGGGTTTTAACAAGCTCTGATGTATGGGCTACTTAAAAAATGATAAAGGGCTTTTAACAAACTTTCTTTTTCTTCTTTTTAAATTAATTGTTTGGCTTACAAAAAATTTATAATCAAAATGAGAACTTTCATTCATAAAGAAGCAACAACAATACAACCGGAGCTCCTGGCTTCTCTAGGTGCTACAAAGTGGCCTTATTAAAACCTTGCCATAAAAATCTCCAATGGAGGAAATCCAGTCAAGAAAAAAGAGTATCACAGCACCGCAATACATAAAAACTACTTTGTCTATCCTTTCCTAGTAAAGTTTGAATCCATATCAGACCCACCCCTTCCGAGAAACATTGAGCCATAGCATGAGCCACATTGTTACCTTCACGAGGTTAATAGACCACCTTTACATTACCCAACTGCACTAGCAGCACTCGAATATCATCAACTAGATTACCCACATTACTCATCCACAGTGCCCATAATCATATTCATGGCTTCTTGTGAATCAGAAGCAACAGTCAAATAAACCATACCTTTAGCAGATGCCAAAAGTAGCCCGCTATGAATAGCCACCAGTTCAGTTCCCAAAATGTCGAAACCATCCTAACCAGCAACCGCAAAACCCTAACAAAACTCACCATGGCAATCACAAACCAAACCGCCCACTCCTCTTCGCCTACTATTCCTCCCAACAGCACCATCACAATGCAAAACAAAATTGTCTAGCATGTGGTTTAAATTAATCACGGGTGAAGATAGTTTCCAATTCTAGAATTCTTTCTTAAGACGGCAATTCAGCTACTTTTCTCAAACGCAGACACACCTTTTCTTTTCTTTCCCGATAAATTATTTTTATAATGAAAGAACATTACTTAATTAGCACATCCTTTTCATTTAATAATAGAAAGAAAGAAAATATAACTTCATACAGAGGAGGAAGAAGAAGCACACGTGTTTTCCCTCTTGCTTTAAAAAAATAATAATAATAAAGCTTTTAAAATTTCAAAATTACACTTTCGCTATAAAAAATCTAGGTCCGCCAGTGCCTACAAAGATGTCCCTCAAATAACTTATTTGAAGAATTCCTCAACGAAAACTCCTCAAATAACCTATTTAAAGAATTCCTCAACGAAAACTCTCTGTACATATATATATATATATACACACACACATACATACATGATGCATACGTACTTGTTCTTGTGTTATTTTTATTTTTATTTTTTGGTCAATGAGTTCTTGTGTTATTATTTCGAGCAAATTATGAACAAAATAAAATAAAAAAAATCTGGTGGTGTCAAAATCTTATAATTAATCCATATATGGATATGGATGAGCCCATTAATTCAAATCTTTTGGTGTTTTGTAGCTACCAATTGCTCGAGAAATTATAAAATGATATAGTATTACCAATCAGCCATTGATATTTCCATTTAAAATTTACCATGTGTCATTTTTAAAAACAATTAAAACTTTATTTTACAGCTGGACATAAAACCCAATTATAACCCTTTGAAATAAAATGAAATAAAAATAAAATATCATAAAAAAGATAGAACCACCCACCCGACCCAGTCTCCTACCTCGCACTACCCCCCTTGGTCACCGCCCCCTTCTACACTCTCTCCCCCTTCTGACGCACTTCAACAACTTAATCATATATGAATCCTTCATTTTCAACCTTTCGATGGCTACCCGAAGACCCAGTTATATTTCTCCTTTTTGAAGGTCTCATTCATTTGTTGACTACTAATTTTCAGAATTGTCATCAAATCTGTAAAAGTTTGAGGGGAGGGAGGGAGAGAGAGAGAGAGAGAGAGGAAACGGGGTAAGGGGTTGGGTTGGGTGGGTGTTTCTGGCGTCTTCTCTGTCCTTTTTTGTCTTTTTAATTTCTCTAGGGTTCAGTTTTATTCTGAATGTGAAACATAAGTTTTAAATCCAGCTATAAAAACAAATAAAAATTGACACATGACAAATTTTGAAGAGGAATGCTAGCAACCTTCTCTCTAACCATCTTTTGCTTGACATGTGTCATTCTCCTTACACTTAAAACAATGTCATTAATATATTATACAAGCTAACTTTTGCTTTCCAAGTTTACCCTTATTAAATGTATTCAATTTATCCAAAAAAAAATTCACAACTTTCTTATTAACTGTTGTTTTTCTATAGGCTTTTTTTCTTTTCATATGTACTTTTCTTTTTCAGTGCCTTGGATTAAGGAAACATTGATTTAGCTTATATATAGCACCAAATTTTGGATCGTGATTTAGCTTTAGCCACTTATTTATGTTTTTGGATCATGCAATTAGTTTTGTAGAAGGAAATATTTTTGCTCACCACTTTAATCTAAAGTGTACCCACACCATCCTTCTCAATACTTGACATATGTCCCTTGACATAACCATAATTAACTCTTTACCTTGTATTTATGCAACCATGATTATGTCAATAGATATGTGTCAAATGTTGAGAGTGGTGAGGCTACACCTAGGGTTAAAATGGTGAGCAAAAATGCTCCCTAAGAAATGAAAATTTATAAGACAAAGGAAAGAAATACAAAAAGAAAGGAAAGTACTTGTCTTCTTTACCGGAAGTAGAAATTGCTACTTTCATGTGAATACCATTGGGAAACATCCAAAAATGTAATGAAGGCAAGCAATCAATAAAGATCATTCCAAAATACGATTTATATCCAATATAGCACGTATGAACACATAAAAAGTACATTGTGTAATTTATTTTAATGAATAAATCCGATTGCAAACTTTGACTGGATATATGAATAAGTGATTGCTTTTCAAAATTGGCATGCACATGCCATCATGGTCGCAATGACAGAAGGAAGACAGGTAGAATAGTAGGTGAAATTGTTGTCTACTAAGAACTTGCTCAAATTATGAAATTGATCTTAGTTTCTTGCCCTATACAAAATTCCAAACCTAATTCATGGACCTGACCAAATTAATGTTCTAGGAACTTGTAGCATGTAAGTACTGATTTATTCCAATGCAGCTATAAAAAGAATATACCGAACCCAAAAAGAAAAAAAAAGAAAAAAAAGATGTGGTCAATAAGGCTTTGTCATGTGCTTATTGGTGACGAGGTAAAATCCTCTTTCATAATGTAATAATCAAAGTGGGAACGGGTTTTGAACAAAGCAACGGACAAAAGGAACGGACCTTAAACGGACAAAAGATGAGAGAGAGAGAGAGAGAGAGAGAGAGAGAGAGACGTGGACAAATGAGGTTTGCAGAAAATTCAATCGAACGTTGCTGCTATACAATGTGGTGTTTGGGGCCCTCCACCACTTGTACTGCACATGACCCATTCCTAGCCTACCACTCAGAGAGTACCCCTCTCTCTCTCTCTCTCTCTCTCTCTCTCTGTCTCAAACTCTCTTTTACTACGTATCTTTCTTTTTTTCAATTTTCTTTCTCTTATGGTTTTTTAATAGAAGCATTACTAAGCCCTTTCTTTCTCAGAAGATATAGGGGTAAATGTTTTTAAACACTTGATTTACAAACCCGAAACGGTAAAAGAGGGAAGAAAAAAAAAAACATATTTTGAATGAAATTGTTAGGGGGTTTTTGTCATTGTTATAGCTAGTGAAATTGACAATGGTTGGTTAAGGGTCAATGTGAAGGAGCGTGTAACCCCATTCCCCATCCAATTCCCTACAAAACCCCACTCTCATTTCAATCCCTTCTCATAATTCCCATTCGCTCTCTCTCCAAACTCTCTCTCTCTCTCTCTCTCTCTCTCTCTCTCAGTTTATTTTTCTTATATATATATAATTGTATATCATCAATACAAATACATTGTGCGCTACATTTTTTTGTACACAATTATACATCAACTGGGTAGTTAAGGTCTCAAGTTGGTTAGCAATGGCAGCAGAACCCAACAATTCAGAATTAGCTCAAAGCACCAGCAACTCATCTCAAGGCTCACCATCTTCATCATCTAGGTTGTTGCAAACTCATCCCACTTCACCCTCAAACTCACTCAAGACCAAGACTAGAACACACAAAGCTTCCTCGCAGCATCAGCAGCAACACCAAGTAGCACTCAAAAGAAAGAGAGACGATGATAGCAGCAGCAGCAGCAAACACCCAGTTTACCGAGGAGTTCGCATGCGCAGTTGGGGCAAATGGGTGTCAGAAATTCGAGAACCTCGCAAGAAGTCACGCATCTGGCTCGGTACATTTTCAACTCCAGAGATGGCGGCCCGTGCGCATGACGTGGCTGCCCTCAGCATTAAGGGCAACTCGGCCATTCTGAATTTCCCAGAACTGGCCGAGTTGTTGCCCCGACCGGCGTCCCTTAAGCCTCAGGACGTTCAGGCTGCCGCGACTAAAGCGGCAGCCATGGTTCATTTAACTTCCACGTCATCATCCTCATCATCCTCCTCCTCCTCTTCGTCTTCGTCATTATTGGTGTCACAGTCAGAGGGTCCAGAATCAGAGGAGCTAGGGGAGATTGTGGAGTTACCCAACATAGAGGGCAGTTTCGACTCGCCCGAGTCGAGGAACGAGTTCATATTGGTGAATGACTCGGAGGATGGGTGGGTGTATCCATCAATGGGGCTTGAGGGGGTTGAATTTAATTTGTGGGGTTTTTTCTCATCGGATATTGGCAGCTGAGAAAACTTAATTCCAAGCACATCTGAAGGTTCTAGTAGTGTGGGGGTATTCAAATGACTTAATTGGTGTGCATAGTTTTTTTTTTTTTTTTTTTTTTTCAGTTTTCTTTTTCTTTTTTCATCTTTAGAAGACTACTGGTGATGGTCCTATATTATTCATTCTGCAATTTGCTTGGCTACTGTTGCTAACTCATCACAACTGTCACTGTAATATAATTCACACAATTTGATGCCAGCTAGCTATGTTTCTCTTTATTTAGTTTTTCTCTGATGCAGAAAATTAATTTTTTGATTTAGTATTTTTTTATGAACAAAATTTTAGAAGAAAATTGGCTACTCTGACCACCAGCGTCAATGATACTCTACTGATTTATTTGTAGTTTCCATTAGCGGTGAATATTATAACTTTTGAAACGAAGATTTAGCACATGTAAGACATATTCTTTCACGGTGAACATAGCTTATAAATCAGATATGTAAAAGTCAGTCTCATCCCTAACTTATAAATAATTGCTAGTTAGCTGAAATCATCGCCATAATCATGATAGTTATCATTAACCACCAATGCGATCATTTCTCTGCCCTACCATGGACTTGTGTGCATGTGTTTATTGCGAATGTGCCGAGTTTTGACAAATATGTAGATCCATTCATAGTTAATTTCATACGTTACGTGTACTGAGTCGGTACACAATCATACATACACAAAATTTATTCCTTTTACATACTATTCACGACTTTATATAAATAGTTGTTTGACACACTGCATTGCATCCGGCCTAAACAAAACTTTTCTCCTTCCACTCATTTCCCATTCAAGTTTATTTTGAAATTTGCACTAGTATTTACTGCTGATTTGTTTCTTTTGGCCTGCAATTATGGACTAAGATGATGACTCTTATTTAGACAAATTGGAAAATGTACCGTTGGAAGGTTTCGAAGTATATATTGTCATCATATACAACTACAAATGTACCGTTGTGCACATTGAAAATGATTCGGGTGACATATTCTGCATTACGAGGACAAGCATGCGACAAAATAATTTGAATATGTTGCAACTTTTTATTGGGTGGGGTGGGGCCAGAAGATATGGGAGAAATATTATTTGGATTGTAATGGAAAGAAGTTTCCAGGAGAACAAACAGAACGCTAATGCTTTTTAACCATGAATAAGCCGTCCAAAAATGTATACAGAGCCTGTTCTCTGTACATATAGACCTTTGAGTTTTCCTTTTCATGTTTTTATTTTTATTTTATGTTTCATTTGGAAGGTTATTCGAGCAAGATGAAAATATAGCGGGATTAATATAAAATTTGTTTATACCATATTTGACCGGCCAATCAGAGAATGAGACGTGGAACAAGGGACCCATAAGAAGAACCCACTAAACCTGACAATCTATTATGTCCCACAAAGTACCATTGGTAGGTTGTGAGCCTTCAGCACCCTAATTTGCCAATCATCGCTAAAGACCACGCTTCATTAGAGATTTCTCACAAGGACATGTGGTGCCTCCTCAAGCAATGCCCACAGTCCCACATCAAAATCTCACTCGATGCTCATCTCCCAAAATATGTAAATAAATACACAAGTCCCCAAAACGAGGTAACCTAACTATGACATTCAGCTACTTAGTCATTATTCTGTCCAGATCACTATTCACTTCGTACTTGACACTAACTTAAGTATCGGAGAGCCTTCAGCCAGTATCACACCTATACCTAAGGACTCACTTATGCCCAAGGACTCACTGCTCGTTCTTTGTTTCGCAGCCTATCCACCCTCCCAAAGAGCACACAGTGCAAAAGGTGACATCATGACTAAACTAGGTCCAGAAGTGTTCGACCATTTCTGCACATCAACAAAATTAGTGAAAAAAAGTCAAACGATTTAAAATTTGAATCTGAAATAAATTAAGGGTGCATATTGTCACCACGTTGACATACACTTTGCTAGGGACTCAGCCCAAGTGTTCACGTAATGAAACTTATTTTATTTTATTTTATAATATTTTTAAGTACAGGAAGGACGAATTCAATCTTAGAACATCTTCTCGCTCCAATGGAATTGTTTTATAACTATATAACTAGAACTGGTTGGTACAACTTCCATTTTAGTTTACACAATTTATTATTTAGCATTAGCACTGTGAGTATAAGATCTTAAACTATTATAATCTTAGGTTTATTGTCATTTTCCAATAGTGCCTTCTCGAATAATTTTGTTGTTTAAAGAACGATTTCTTGAAGAAGTTCATTGCGTGAATGAATTAAGATTCATGCTTAACTTATATTTAAAAGAAAATTACAACGAAAATCTTATATATATATATATATATACAGTCTCATTCTATTGAGGGATTCCTCAAATAATTTTATTTCAGGGACACCCTTTAGGGTACCCTACAATTTTTTTCCAAATAATCCAAACTATGTATTTTTTAGGTCTTCATTAATAAATCATCCTTACAAAAAATTAGACAAATCGGAAACCGTTTCGACATCCAATTGTGTCTTACAAAATCAACGAACACGTTATTTCAAGAAAGTACTAAAATTTCAATAACTCAAATGAGTGGTCAAATGAAATCGGATTTAAGTGATTTTTTGTAGAGATGATCTTTGAATGAGTATCTACAAAATAGACGGTATGGATTAGTGAAATACAATCCGGAGTTATAAAATAAAAAATAAAATAAAAAGTAGTCACAATGATACGTTCATAACCACACACGACACCTGAAAAACCCAAATTGCTGCTAGATCATCTGTCAATCTCAAAGTATACTTTTGGGGGACAGCAAGGCATTCTTAGACAATTTAGGTGCGAAAAATATATTTCTTTGTGGACAAAAGAAAATGACATGAAATTGTCCAAACTCTAAAAAGGAAAGATATTTTTCTTCTTTTTGTTCTTTATTAACAACAGGTCCATATAGTCACAGCTCACCAAGTCTTTCATTAATATATAACAAGGACTTGTTAATCGGTCAATTCTTAATGCCATAGTTGATGATTTTACACAATAAATAAAACGCATGCTTATGTAGTTACATAGTTAAATAAAGGTTTATTTATGTATTTTAAGGGATTTTTTATTTTCAATAAAAACTAATAAAAATAAAAATAGAAAGGAGGGGTCTTTGTATCTCCTTTCTTGTCCTTGAATCTTATTTTCCATAATTTTGTCTTTTATGCTTTAACTACTTGTTAATTAGGTGGGTTAATCTAATTCAAACATGGCGTTCTTCATGATTTTGGCTAATTAGTGTTTGTTGTTGATAGATATTTTAGGTACTATTTAGCCATAATCAAGAAATTGTCTTATTATTTGACTTTTTTTTTTATTAGCGCTCTGAAATAGTATCATGAACTCTTAAAACTTAGTGAAAAAAGAAGAAGAAAGAATTGCATGATTACTATTTTGGAGTCTAATAATATAAATAAACCCTACACCATTTAATTTTTATAAACAAACCTAAAAAATGACAGCTGACCCTATTGAATTCAATTTTGATTATTAAATTACTTTGATGCCCTATTGAGTGTTTTGGGCTTTTTTATGAGGTTTGTTTTAATAAATCAATGACAATTTTGTAATTTAAAAGAAGTTAAAAGCCTTTTTGTTATGTTGTAAATAGACTTTGGGTGTGTTTCTAAAGTCCATTTCATATAGAGTGTTTTTTAAATAATTTGTGCTCATATATTGAGTATATTAGTAAATCTCCCTAATAACAATTCCCGTTGTAAAAGGTTTATATATATATATATACATATATATATATATATATATATATATGCGTGTGTATACGGACAAAAGGAAAACTGCGTATGTTTTGAATTTTGCTTTAGTCAATGGCAAATTGGGATTCCAATATACCTTTCAACATTAAACAAAGAAATAACCCTAGACGAAAGGGCTAGTTGTGTTTTCTTATGTATTTGGCTTACTAATGATTTTTATTGTAAGTTGTAACGTTTTTGACATCTTGTAAGATATTATCCATTGAGACTCGGTGTCGAAGTTTATGTGAAATCTCTCAATTTGTAATACTAATAACAATGACCAAGGTATATTATATAAGCTAGACTACTCTAAGCACAAGGCTAGATCCATGATTATAGTAGCCAATTACATTCAGTTATCATATAAATTAGTTGATTAATTTCCCCGAATTAATTGGCCTATGACCGCCGACGATTGGCCGGTGAGCTTCAGTGTCTGGTGACCGACCGGCCGCGGTGCTCCTCTGCCTTGAATATCAAGAGTGCCTTGCATTCTATGTAGTCCTTTGGCAACGTGTCTTGAAAAACTGTTTTTTTTTTCCCTTGCAAAAACATGTTGGCAAATATATAATGCTACTTTGCACATGATGTTCAATCTGATTATATCAACCACGTGTGTACCAAATTGAATCAAAAGATTGGTAGTGAATTTGGCAGGTGATGAGAATAAAGTGACGGTACACCAAACTGAAATATTTGGGGGAACATGATAGCTTATGTGGTTTGAGGGTATATAAAGATCACAGTTGAGGTTGAGAATTGAATCTTAAAAACAATCTACCATTACCAATAAATTTAAAAAATTATACTCTATTACTAAAGTTATAAACCTTAAAACCTTACAAAATGAGTTGTTTTCTTTTTTTTCCTAATTTCTTCATTCAACATATTTGCGACGAGAGTCAAACTTTCGCCATAAATATGTTGGAATAGTTTGTCCCAACTCAATATCTAAGATGGAGTGCCAACGGGTCTAGCTTAGTTAAAAAGGGCATTGACTTACAGACTAGCGGGCTCAAGTTCGAATCCTCCATGACATTAACCCCCTCTCATTTTTAACTTTGACAGCAACAAAAAAAGTTCCAAGAGAGAGTAACATCCCATTCCTCAAATTGAATGAAGTTGGCCATATGGTCAGCAATATGATTAATTACCGGACCCCCTCTTGTTCCACTAAAAATCTTCTTGGAAGTGGGAGAGATTCATAATCACATAACTATGAAATTTTATATCATTGCTGATATATAGTCCATGTTGAAAATTTGGATCTGCCCGTTGGGTCCCACTCTAACAACACCGATACTGTCCCCACTTTACCACCCGCCCAATCCGTCAGGTGTGGGGTTTTTATCACAAAAGGCCTCGGTATTAGTTAGAGTGTAGTAATTCTATTTAAACCCTTTTGTTTTCTTTCACTCCACCGATGTGGGATTCCAACACT